TGGCCAGTCGCAAGCCGCCGCCAGGTACGACGACGAGTAGCCACGTGTTGCTCAAGACGTCGTCGACAGCCAGTTCGATGGCGTCGCAGCACCACTACACCAACAGTAGGCACCTATACAGCTCGGCACTCATGGAGCTAACGCTGCGTAGGCAGCATTCTCGAAGAGCCCAGCCTCGGGATGGCGTCGTCTATCGCCAGCGACGACACGATCATCATCATGCAGTCGACCCGCGGCGGCAGCAGTGACAGCTTTGACTACGCGCTCAAGACCAAAACCGGTCCGCGACACGTCTAGTCGATGCTCTCCGTGTCTTATAACTATTTAACATCCTCGTCCATCTAGTCGTCGTGTTGTCGCACTTGATACGAACTTGATACAAATCCGACTAGGACAGGTACAAACTGCCCGCAAACACCACGTCGCGCTTGATCGACTCGGACGCAATTTCCATCTTGCGGTACAAGCGCGGATCGCCAATCACCTAATTCGAAGAGTGCATCAATATTGTCATCGTGTCCACGGAAATATGTACAAAACAGAAAACATACAAAACATACAAAACTACACAAAAATACACAAAAATCAAAACAAAGCTTACCCGCGCCGCGTTGCGCACTTCACGGCACACTTCGTCGAGACGCGTGATGCAGCGCACGATCGAGCCCTCGGGCACGTCCGTGAGCTCGCAAATCGACTTGAACGGCATACCTAGTCAATGACGAGTTGAGCCATTCGTGTCCTGTCGCACAAGTGTATATTATTGTGTCGATACCGCGGCTCCACTCGTACACGACTTCCATCAAGCCAAAGTTGAGCGTCGTCTTGGCAAATTCCGTCGGGTCGATTTCTGTCAACATCAAAAAATAAGTCCCAAATATCCTTCAAATCGCGGGGCGTACCGAGGTGGCACTCGAGCTGGATGACGCCAAGCGAGGTTGCGATCGCGTGCACCTACATCATCGAGAATCCATTTCGATGCATACATGGTGGTATTGGCATCGCTGTACCGTGCTCTGCGCGTGCAGCAAGCGCGGGGTCAGCGTCGGTTGGTTCTGGGTCTTTTCTTGGAAAATGAGCGCCGAGAGCACCGCGACAATCTCTTCCGGTTCGAGGTCGGCGAGGACGTTTTCAAAAATGATTTCCGTGAGCACGAGTTCTTCGCACGTGTTGACCTCGCACGCGACACGGCCCTTGACCTACTCATTTTATGAGATTTCATGAGATTTTCCAACCACCTCATCATATATCGAGTAGTACCTGCACCGTGTTGTCCGAGGCAATGTATCCGAGGCGCGTAAGCACGCGAAGCCGCTGCTGAAAGTCGGGAAAAAGCGAGAGCGAGTGGTTGGAGAGCGCGGCCGTCATCGTCGCCATGTAGTGGCGCAGGCGGTCAATCTATCATCGTGCTCGTTCTGGGATGCACTCGGAACGAGGGAGTACCTTGGCGTACTGGGCGAGAACGGGCATGAGGAAGGGCGATGCAAAGCACGGGCTTGCTTCCATGACGCTGTACTGGTGCTGCACCTGGCTGTACAAGTCGGCCGACTCGAGCTCCATCATCTTGAGGTCGGTTTGCGGACTCAGAAAAAGCGGCAGCGACGCCTCGAGGTCCACGAGAAGCTCGACGGCGCGCGAGAGCACGCTCGGGTCGTTGGCCTCGAGGAGGCTCCGGACGTTCGGGCTTGCCTTGTGCTACATACACAAAAACATAGAGGATTGTACGATCGGTATCCAGATACCTTGGTAAGCTTGTTGAGGCACGTTTCCGGCACGTCGAGCACGACATAGTGCTTGCCCAAGAGCGAGCCCTTGGCACCCGGCGCAAGGCCCGTCGACGTACTCGCTTGCGCCTTGGGCTTGAAGAAATCCATCGCGCTCGGCTTGGCCGCAACGACTGCTGGTGGCGTGAAGGACGCATGGCACAGAGCGAGGACTGTCACGGTACGCGTCGCCGCCTTGTCGACTATCGTTCCATAGGAACCAATGGACAATGATCACACGTCTACGTTATACCTTGCAGGAGGATGGCGAGCTGGTCGGGCAGACCGGTCGTCGAGAGCACAACGACGCGACCGACGCAGAGCGCGGCCGCTGCATACCGCGAGTTCAGAATCGCGTGCACCAGCGCTTGCTCCTTGTACTTGGTCGACTGCTGGAGGAGGAAGAAGCGCTCGACTTCGGTCAAGTCGAGGTGGCCGCCGTGCGTTGCGTTGAGGTCCGCCTCGAGCGCATGCAGCGCCTACTCAAATATATCAATATATCAATGTATCTATCGAGGCGAAGTACCTTTTTGGCTTTTTGGATGGCCGACGGAATGTCCTTGGCCGCCAGCGCCTTTTGCGTGCGGAATTCCGAGAACGACCGCTTGATCATGTCCTCGACCGTCATGTCTTCGACGCGGAGGAGGTTGAGAATCATGTTGTACGTGAGCCGGAATTGACTCTCGAGCTTCGTCGGTGTGCCCATGAGCATCGTGCGGAGCGACGTCGCGTCCGGCGCGTCACTACGCCGCCATGTTTAGTAAGCAAAACGACTAGGATTGATACCATACCCCCAGCACGCAATGATGACGGTGCCGACCGTGTCGAGGCCACGGCGACCCGCACGCCCCGCCATCTGCGTGTACTCGCCCGGCAGCAAGTCTCGGAACGTCTTGCCGTCGTGCTTGCGCGTGCCGTTAAACACAACCTATGAGCAGCGTCTCCACAAAAAAGTATCAAGAATCTATCAACGCCATACCGTGCGCGCGGGCATGTTGACGCCCATGGCAAACGTCTCGGTCGAAAAGAGCACCTTGACCAAGCCTCGGGCAAACAGAATTTCAACCTATCAAGACAGTGTATCAACCCACGTGATCCTCATGAAACGCGACGAGGTCCCGTGAAGTACCATCTCCTTGAGAATCGGCAGCAGACCGCCGTGGTGCACGCCAAT